TTTTATCATCATTATTATTATCATTATCATTATTAACAACGTCATCGTAACCTGCCCCATCAACCCATTTTAATTTTTTTTTTTTTTTGTCGGTCATAATTTAATGTTTAAAAAAAAAAAAAAAGAAAATTTAGGTCATCTTTAAATCTCGCTAACGACAATATCTCTTAATGGTCGTCCCTTTCATTCTTTTTTTTTTATTTATTCTTTAATGACGTGAAACGAGAGAGAGAGAGAGAGAGAGAGAGAAGAGCTTTCATTTTCTTATATGTGTTCCAGGAAAGAAACCGACCTTGAAAAAAAAAAAAAAACTGTGACAACAGAGGTCATTCACCATCATCAACATCATCATCATCATCATGTATGTTACGTGTTTTACACGTAAAGTTTTTTTATTCAAGCACCTGACTTTGTGTACCGTTAATCAAACAAAATTACCTGTTAAGTAGAGGGGAGAGAAAGAGAGAGAGAGAAAGAGTTTAGAGACAAAATGAAACAAAGCTAACAAATAATAAATGGCAGGTCTTTTTACAACAACAACAAACAACAAGCAACAAAAAAAAATAAAATTCTTGTTTGTTAAATGTTAAAAAGAAATAACAAACTTATAAAAATCCAAAAGAAAGCGCGTACCTGAAATAATAATTTATTATTATTATTTTTCTCTTTTAAAATTCTTTAAAATTATTATTATTATTATTTTAAATAGCTTTCAGGTATCATTACGTTTATAAATTTGGGTTAAAAAAAAAAAGATACCCGATTGAGAATTATTGTTGGTCATTGAGTTTATAATCGCTTTCATTCCAAGCTTAATAATAATAATAATATTCAGGTTAAATTCAACTACCGACCTACATTCTCTTTTTTATTATTATTATCATCATCATCATCATTTTAACCTGCGCAGTTAATTTTTTTTTTTTTTTAGAAAAAAAAAAAAAAAAAAAAAAAATTGTTTTAATGGAAAATTCAAGTGAAAGGAAGGAAGTCGATTTTTATTTAACATGACGAAAAGTAAATAAAAAAAATTAATTCAAATCATTATCATTATCATCATCATTATCATCATTACGCTTTTTCTTTTTTCTTTTTTTTAAATTAATAACGATTTTTTTTTTCTAAACGTAATTATAATTATTATTAATAATTTTTTAAAAAAAATTTTCACGAATCGGGATTAAAAAGGTCTTTGCGTATATAAGTTAAACATGGGGTGGTAGGTTTTTTTTAAAAAAAAATTTTCCTCCAATATTCCTAATACTCCATCGAGTCATTATTTCTCACATAGAGAAAGAGAAAGAGAGAGAGTATAATTAATCGAATCGTACAAAAAAATTGACATTAAATATTTCGATTTAAATCGATATATCGATCGTCATACATACGTCATTTAAATCAAAGGAAAAATTATTATTATTATTATAATTGAGAAAAAGAAAAAGCGTCATTTCAATATACAAAGTTTAGTATATTTAAAAAAAATAATTCATTAAACTCCTTGTTGACACAATAAACACTCTCATACATAATAATAATAATAATAATAATAATAATAATAATAATAATAATAATAATAAATGGCTTACATTTTTAAGAAAATAAAAAAAACTACGTACGAGAACAAAAAAAACTACGAAGAATAAAAATTAAAAAGAAAATTAAAATTTATGTATATAATTTAATTTAACAAAACTTTTACAAATTAAGAAAAGCAGTCGTCAATTATTATTATTATTATTTAATCAATAAAAATAATAAATAAAATAAAAAATGTTCAATTTCACATACACACACACACATATATATATATATATATATATGTACACTATATAAAATTTTCTTTTCCTTTTTCCTTTTTCCCTTTCATTCCCTTCCCATCCCGTCTTTCCCATTTATCCCTAATCAAATATAAATAAATGTTTGATTGTATTTTTTGTTTTACAGTGTACATACATAAAAAATGTATAAAAAAATTAATCTAACGAAGAAATTGAAAAAATCAAACTTAAATTGCACTTTTTTGTTTGTTTCCAATTTATTTATTACAATATGTATTTTATATATATATATAAGTTTGTAAAAAAAACACGCTTAATATGTAATTATAAGGAACAAAAAATTAAAAAAATATTTATATACTAATGGTAAAAATATGTGAGAGAAAGAGAGAGGGAGGAGATGGGAATGATAGGAATGAGATTGTGTGTGAAAAGAGATAGGGAGGGAAGGGAATGAAAGAAATGAAATATGTGTGGGAAGAGACAGAGAGGGAAAAAGGAATGAAAGGAGTGAAGTACGTGTATGAAAAGAGAGAGGGGGAGATGGGAATGAAAGGAATGAGATTGTGTGTGAACAGAGAGAGGAAGATGGGAATGAAAGGAATGAGGACTGTGTGGGAAGAGAGAGAGAAAAAGGAATGAAAGGAGTGAGGTATGTGTATGAAAAGAGAGAGAGGGAGATGGGAATGAAAGGAATGAGGACTGTGTGGAAGAGAGAAAGAGAATGATGAAATGTAAGGTTCAATGATAATAAAATAAGAGTTTAAACACTGCATAAAGCGAACACGATACTACTACTGAGGAGGACTATTATTTCAATAAGTTTTTTTTTTTTTTATTATAACGCACAAATTATTTATTATTATTTCATTTTCAAATATTATTATTATTATTATCATCATCATTATTATTATTATTATTTATTAACGAAGCTACGATGTAATGATAATAATAATAACAATAATAAAATTAAAACTTTATTTTTTCAAAAATTATATTCCGTCTTTTTTTTTTTTTTTTCAAATTCTTCACACGTATTACGTAACTCGGAAAACTCGCGAGAATTTCGGAAGATTAATAATGATGATAATAATAATAATAATAATAATAATAATTAATAAATAAAATAAAATTCATCAAAGAATTTTTTATTGCAATTTTTTCATTCAAAAAAAAAATGTCAATTTTGTAAAAGGCTACAATTTTTTTTTTTTCAATCACTGTTGTCTTGTCTTTATTTACACGATGACGACAGAACAGTAATAATAATAATAATAATAATAATAATAATGATAATAATAATAATTTGAGAAAAAAATGAATAAAAAAATAAAAGAACCGTCATTAAACCTTCCCCTCTCTAACATCATATCCACTTAAATGAAAAAATTTAATTAATATTTTATCG